CTTTTGCTGTACAGAAGCTCTGGAGTTTAATTAGGTCCCATTTGTCTTTTTTGGCTTTTGTTGCCAATACTTTTGGTGTTTTAGTCATGAAGTCCTCGCCTATACCTATGTACTGAATGATTTTGCCTAGGTTTTCTTCTAGGGTTTTTATGGTGTTAGGTCTTATGTTTAAGTCTTTAATCCATCTGGAGTTCATTTTAGTGTAAGGTGTCAGGAAGGAGTCCAGTTTCTGCTTTCTGCACACTTCTAGCCAGTTTTCCCAACACCATTTATTAAACAGGGAATCCTTTCCCCATTGCTTGTTTTTGTCAGGTTTGTCAAAGATCAGATGGTTGTAGATGTCTGGCATTGCCTCCAAGTCCTCTGTTCTGTCCCAGTGTTCTACATCTCTGTTTTGTTACCAGAACCATGCTGTTTTGATTACTATAGTGTTATAGTATGGTTAGAAGTCAGGTAGTGTGATGTCTCTGGCTTTGTTCTTTTTGCTTAGGATTATCTTGGCTATGTGAGCTCTCTTTTGGTTCCATATGAAGTTTAAGGTGGTTTTTTTCCAGTTCTGTGAAGAAGGTCATTGGTAGCTTGATGGAGATAGCATTGAATCTATAAATTACTTTGGGTAGTATGGCCATTTTCATGACATTGATTCTTCCTAACCATGAGCATGGAATGTTTATCCATCTGTGTTCTCTCTTATTTCCTTGAGCAGTGGTTTGTAATTCTCCTTGAAGAGGTCCTTTACATCCTTTGTCAGTAGTCCTAGGTATTTTATTCTCTTTGTAGCAATTGAGAGTTCGCTCATGATTTGGCTCGTCATTAGTCTGTTATTGCTGTATAGAAATGCTTGTGATTTCTGCACATTGATTTTGTATCCTGAGAATTTGCTGAAGTTGTTTATCAGTTTAAAGAGATTTTGGCCTGAGATGATATGATAGGGTCTTCTAAATATACAATCATGTTGTCTGCAAATAGAGACAATTTGACTTCCTCTTTTCCTAATTGAATACCCTTTATTTATTTTTTTTTCTTGCCAAATTGCTCTGGCTAGAACTTCCAGTACTATATTGAATAGGAGTGGTGACAGTCTTTGTAGCTGGTAACTTTCGGATGGGGTCTCTGAGTGGATGTCCTTTTTGTTGATGTTGAAGCTATTTCTTTCTGCTTCTTAGTTTTCCTTCTAACAGTCAGGTTCCTCTGCTGCAGGACTGCTGGAGGTCCACTCCAGACCTTGCTTGCCTGGGGATCGCCCACAGGGGCTGCAGAACTGCCAGGGCTGCCACAGGTTTCTTCCTCTGCCAACCTCGTCCCAAATGGGTATCTGCCGATGTTGGCCAGAGCTCCCCTTTATGAGGTGTCTCTTTAGGTATATGAGGGTCGCTGAGCTGCTTGAGGAGACAGTCTGTCCCTTATAGGAACTCAAGTGCTGTGCTGGGAGCTCTGCTGTTCTGTGCAGAGCTGCTGGGCAGGTACCTTTAAGTCTGCTGCAGCTGAGCTCATAACCAATTCTTTTCCCAGGTGCTCTGTCCTAGGAAGGTTGGCTTTATTTATGTAAGTCCCTGTTGTGCTGCTGCCTTTTTTTATAGATGCCCTGGCCCACACAGAGTAGTCTAGTCTCAGTCTGCCAGCAGAGGCATTGCTGAGCTGCTGCAGGCTCTGCCCTGCACTGTCGGAACTGCCTAGGTACTGGCGGACTGCCTCGGTAGTGGGGGACACCCTTTTTGCCACTGAGCTGGATGGTCCTGGGTCCAGCTGCACTTGCTGTGAAACTCAATCCAGAGCGTTTCAGATTGCTTGTTTTGTGAGGGTGGTACCCACCAAGCCAGCTCCCTGTGTTAGTCCCCTCCCTTTCAGTTAAATGGGTGGCTCTGTCTCCCAGGTGTTCTGGGCACCTGCCGAAAAGGCAGCCCAGACTTGTGTGAGTTTCTGTGCGCCTACACGGCACCAGCTGAAACCATCACACTGAAAACTTGTGGCATTTTTCAGCCTGAGAATCTCCTGGTCTGTGGGCAGTGAAAACTTGTTTGGAAATGTGGTGAGCACTTACCCTGCTATTCTCGCTGGCAACTGCACCCCAGAACTGTTCCTATTCGGCCATCTTGGATCTTCTCCCCCCACCCAGAAGGGTGTTCTCTTAAGGGGCCAGTCACACCTTGGAAAGAGGCAAAATGAAAGGAAATCAAACAAGGTGCTGAAAACAAGTGTAACTGGCAGCTTCTCTCTCTGCTGCTCGATTCTTCACCTGTGAAAGGAGAGGGCTGAGCCGGATGGTCTCTGGGGATTGTCGCAAGGTGGGAGGGGTGTGAGGTGCAGAGCCAGACTTACCTGGTTTGAATCTTGCTGCTTCTAATGGCTAGCTGTATAGCCTTACACCTATCACTCCACTTCTCTGAGCGTGTCTCCTCAGCTGTGAAACGGCATTAATGACACCTAATTGATAAGGTCTTTGAGTAGATTAAGTGAGACGGTGCGCACACAGCTGCAGGCACGAAGCCCAGCACATAGAAAGGGCTCCATCACTTCTCTCTTTTTGCCTCTGCCACTTCTACCCACAAAGATCCTGTCCTTGCTCTTGACCAGCCATCTCAAGTACGCATCAGAGTTTCCTCTGCCCTGAGTGGAAGGAACCTCATCCTCCCATCCAACAGCCCCTTCCATGGACTAATGATGGGCCTGAGGGAACTCTGGCCTCTTCACTGCAAAGGTCGCTAAACTGGTTCATTTTCCTCCTAGCACAGGAAAACTCCCCTGTCCAGCCCTAGGAGAGGGATAGGTCTAAGCAGGATCATGTGACTCACCCTGGCCACAGAATGTGAGCAGAAATTTTATCAACCAATTCCACTTCTGACTCATCAAAATTCCTCCTTTGAACAGAACCAAACATCACATGTTCTCACTCACAGGTGGGAGTTGAACAATGAGAACGCATGGACGCAGGGAGGGAAACAACACACACTGGGGCCAGATGGGAGGTTGGGGTCAAGGGGAGGGAGAGCATTAGGACAAATACCGAATGCATGCAGGGCTTAAAACCCAGTTGACAGGGTGATAGGTGCAGCAAACCACCACGGCACCTGTATACCTATGTCACAAACCTGCACGTTCTGCACATGTATCTCAGAACTTAAAGCAAAATTTAATAAAAAAAAAAAAAAAAAAAAAAAAAAAAAAAAAATTCCTCCTTTGCCTTCTCCCTTTCCCCAGAAAATGTGGAGCCTGTACTTGGAGGACAGTGGCATGACAGTTTGAAAGGAATCTGGGTCCCTAAATGACTGCATTAGAATGTGATATGTGTAAGCTATTCTGCTCCTGAGACTACAGGGTTCACTTGTTACTGCACCTGAGCCTAGTCCCCGCTAACTAAATCAGACAGCCTGACACTTCCAAAGGGCACAGCTCCTAAAACAGGACATCTTTACCTATTCCCTGTCTCGGGGCAAGTTCCTCCCTCTCCTGACTCTTTCTTCTCAGGGAGTGGAGACCAGCTTTCCCTACCCCCACCTCCCGCCCCTGCCCTCTATAAGAAGATCTGGATTCTAACATCCAAATTCACATTCATAGTCTCTGCCAGGGTTTCCATCCCTCTTGTGCACATTGGCTCCTTGTGGCCAGCATGTCATCGTGAAGCTCCCCAGGGGACTTCTGCGATCGGGCCTGCCATCTCATCCTCTGTACCCACTGGGTCTGGACCTCAGTTTCCCCACATCAGAAAGCCCCGGAAGCCTTCACCTGATCTGATATTTGCAAGCCATGGGAATCATGTCTGAGAGGAAATGAATGCCTGAGGCTGACAGCCAGCAGTCCACACCGCAGCCCAGCCTCCCCGACACATGACCACAGCCTCTCCTGGCTGAGTAAACACGTTTTATTGGGCCTGGATACACTTCCTGGCCATTCTGCTCCCACCTCCCTTCTCCTGCTCTGGCCAGTTCCCCAGCACAGCCCCTCCCCGGGGCCTCCCATACCTGTCCCTCAGATCCCCACTGTCTCCTGACACTTTTCTACTCTGACACCTGCATCCCCAGCCTTAAGGGGCGTGGAGAGTTTCTCTCTTATCAGCTTGTTTTACTGCCCCCTCCTCCTTGGTTACACAGTAATTTGGAGCAAAATTCCTGGCAAGCATAGATCAACAACTGTCAGCTCCCAGCCGGAGAGAAAGGGCCCCTTCAGTGCTGTCTGTCTCAGGAGACTGGGAGAAGAAGCAGAAAGAACCCCACAAGGAAGGGAGAGGTACTCGTGGAAAGAGGGCTTCACATGTGAAGTGAGGTCAGGGAAACTAGAACAGAAAAAAGCCAGGGCCAGCCCACAGACAGCTGAGAAGAATCCGACTCACAGCTCAGCCCAGCCCTGGCACAGAGAGAAGACAGGCCTGGCAGCACCCAGGGACCCTCTTTCCTCAGCCGCCGCCTCCAGGGCAGCAGGAGCACTGATGCTCTAGAAGGTATGTTCTGGAGTCTGGAACAGCAGAATTTAAGGAAGTAAAGATGGGTGTCCGGGAAAAACCCTCAAGCTGCTGTGCAGCCCACGACTGAGTTGGCCACCTGAGGCCAAGGGTGGCACTCCAGCCTCTCAGAGGCCGGCTAGAGCCACAGGAAAGGGCCAGAAGCCAGAGAAAGGCCAAAGGTGGACACCCTGCCTCCATTTTCTCCTCTGGAAACTGACCTCCTCTTTCCTACACCTTATCGTCTCTCCCTCTTCTCTTTGTTCACCGCTGGGCGGTGACCTCAGGGATCCTGGCCTAAGCTGGTGATTGTGCAGGTAACTGCGTCCGCGAAGACCGTTCTCCGGAAGATTGAACCTCAATTCAGCCATGGTGACTCCTTTGACATCAAACTGGGGAGGGCTGTGAGCCGGGAGCACGGGAGACCCTTCCTTCCAGCTCCTCTGTTGTGATCTGCCCATGGAAGTCCCTGTGGACACGAAATCCTGCTTGGATCATCTAACTGGAGGCTCTCGGTTCTTCACCTCCACATGCCGTCTTGACCCCAGGAGGTTCAGAGGAGGAAATACACCACCCTCCACTGGCACCCCCCTTGGCCTACACAGAGTCACCCCTGAGCCCCTCAGTGTGTGCTGAGGTGGGCCCTGCTCTCTACAGGGGCATGGAAAGGAATAGCTTGGGGTGCTGTGAGGCCCCCAAGAAGCTGGGCCTGTCCTTCTCCATCGAGGCGATCCTAAAGAGGCCTTCCAGGAGGAGTGATAGAGACAGGCCAGAAGGGGCAGGCAGAGAGGGCCCCGGAGAAGCTGCAGCCTCAGGCTCTGGCCTAGAAAAGCCCCGACAGGACCAGCCCCAAGGTAAGTGTCTTCTGATCATTTCTTTCTGTTTCCTGGGCTCAAGACCCAGCTGGGGTCAGGCAGAGAAAAAGCTTCTCGGTCTCTATCCACTGAATAGAGGACTCTAAAATTCAGAGCAGGAGCGGGCTCTGGGCTGGTGGCCTGGTAGACCTTTCCATCTTTGGTTTTTCAGCTGCAGATACCAAGGCTCAGTTAGTTGCAGAATTCAGGGACCTGGGGCTTTTTCCTGTCACCAGGCGCCAGCTAAGAGTGCTAGTTATCGTTTATTCGGCATTGACCAGGCAATAGGCATTCTCTTTTAATTTCAGTAGAAAAGCATGATTATCATAACTGGACAGATAAGAAAACTCTGTGAAAGAGAAGAAGTGGAAAATGTTCCCAAGTTACATAGCAGGTAAACAGAAGCCCTGTCATCAGGATCTGGCTCCGACTCCCCTAAATCCCTGCTGGGCCCAGCACAATCTCCTCCTCTTAAGCCGAGTTCTGCCTGCACAACTTCCAGGGGCTGCAGCTTTAGCTTGGGAAAGGTCAGTCCACCCTGATCACCTTCCTTGAGCCCATGGCCACCCCAAGGCATGTCCCCAGATAACAGTGACCAGGTAGATTGAGAGCTGATTTGAGGAAGGGAGGAAAGCCGCAAGGGGACATTGAGGTGGACACACACCTGCTAAGAGTCAAGCACCCAGGGTGAGACTTAGCTCTGGCCTGCCATGGGGCCTCAGGTACATCCCCGTCCACTCTGGCCTCAGCCTTATGCTTGGCAAAACACCTGGGTGAGGGAATAAGAAGTGGTGAAGCTGGCGATGTCTCAAGGGTCTTTTGAGTCTGACAGTCACTGAGCCTGGAATAGCTCCCATGAGGTTCTTAGTTCCCTCCCCTTTTCACCCTTTTTTTTTTTTTTTTTTTTTTTTTTTTTTTTTTTTTTGAGATGGAGTTTCGCTCTTGTTACCCAGGCTGGAGTGCAATGGCGTGATCTCGGCTCACCGCAACCTCCGCCTCCTGGGTTCAGGCAATTCTCCTGCCTCAGCCTCCTGAGTAGCTGGGATTACAGGCACGTGCCACCATGCCCAGCTAATTTTTTGTATTTTTAGTAGAGACGGGGTTTCACCGTGTTGACCAGGATGGTCTCGATCTCTCAACCTCGTGATCCACCCGCCTTGGCCTCCCAAAGTGCTGGGATTACAAGCTTGAGCCACCGCGCCCGGCCCCCTTTTCACCCTTTTAATCCAAGAAAACGCTGGAAAGGAAGCTCAGAGAGCCCTCGACGTCATCACCAGCCTTACACAGAGCTCCACATCCCCCCACCAGGCAAGTCTCCCATGGAAGGAGCTGATGAGGGGTCGCACTCAGCTGCAGGCATGGGGAAAACCAGGAGGGCTGTGGGCAGGCAGGAGGCTGGTGTGTTTCCCTGCAGCTGAGCTTTCCAAAGGGAAAGGGTCCCCAGCTTAATATTTAGAAGCTCATTAATATCTTCCAGTCCATTGAAGATTCATAGAAACATTTCCACTGGGGTCCTGAGTTTTTCTATGATCACCCTGTGTCATGAACGAGCAGTCTCGCCTCTCTTGTCATAGCACTTTCCCTTTCTCTAGCCTGATGACAGCAGGCTTTAGAAAGGAAGCCACTCTTTCTAGGCCTCCATGGAAGATTCTAGCATGTTCCATGTCAGCTATCCATCTGGTCCCACAGAACAGACCCCAGTAAGTTCTGGCCAGGCTAGCAGTGGTAACATTGGATGGTTCCTTAATACTTCCATTTTCCCATCTCATTGCCACACTTGAGAGCCCAACTTACAGACGATGAAACCAAGAAGAGAAGACAAATCCCCCACAAAAAATAGGCGAGTAACGAACACTAGAATTGAACCCTGGTGGCCTGAGACTATCCCCTCTAGATTATTCTTGAACATAGTTTAAATCCATCTATTGCCCGCTATACTGGAATTCTGCATTTCTGAAAGCTTGGAGAGGGTCCCACTGGCAGCACTCAAGATGACGGTGGGTGCACAGATAAAAATGATCTAGCTCGATAGTCCTGTTGTTACTTCTACACTAACCTTGTATTTATGATGAAAGATACTGCTATCCATGTATAATCATGATATAAGATTTTATTTTAAAATACATTTATTATTTAAGTCAAACAAACAAAAAAAAAGTCTATCTGGGAAAATGCTAAGCAAATAATGCAGATGGGATACCAACATGCCAGAAACTGTACAAAAGAAACCTGTAGAAACTGCAAATGAGCTGGCATCTGTGAAACAGGCCAGGTGAGGAGGGCAGGGATTCAGGAAATCTGCCCACTAAGCCCAGATCTGGCCCCGACGCACAGGAGGACCTCAGGCAAGTCACTTCCCTCTCTGGCCTCAATCTCCCCACCTGTAATACGACAGAGCAGAGCTAGAATATTCATAGAGTCTCTCCAAGCTCTGACATGCCATGACCCATTCAATAACAAATGAGTTGCTGAAAAACCCTGGAGGATTCCCTCCTGGTGATTTTCCACCACAGAATCACTCCCTGCAGAGAGGATGATCGTGTTGCCAGGCAGGGAGGGAACAGAGAGACTGGAAGGCTCCCCCCGCCTCTCCCTAAATGCCTAGCCCTGTGCTTGTTGCTGCTGGCCGATGCTTCTCTACTCCCTGTCCTACGTCCCTCCTTTCATGCGGGACCCCTCAGCAGAGGGCAACAGGACAAGAAATAGACAGCAACCCTCCCCTGTCCCAAGAATAATGACAGAGGAGTCAGATCCTCTCTGTCTTCTTAACATTTAAAGGGCTTCCTAGACTGGCTCATGGACATCCCTTGCCATCTCGCCTAGAGCGCTTGTTAAAAATGCAGCCTGTCAGGCCCAGCACTCAAGACTCTGACTGTAAGTCAAAGGGCCCAGGAATCTGCATTCTAACAAGCTCTCCCAAATGATTCTGATGTTGGCGGCCGAAGGAGGTGGTCCTTGGAGGAAGCTGAGGCTCAAAAAGGTAAAGTGGCTCTTTCTAAGCTGCAGAGCCAGTACGTACAGGAGATGGGTCCGGGCTGGTTATCTAGGATCCAAGGTCAGTGTACTGCTCTACCCCCCTCATTTCTCATGGCAGAGACCAAGATTCTCCCTGACATCTTCCCATTCCTGAAGGGACCTCTGTGATCTATGGATTGGACCCTTCCAGGTCTTAAGTCAATGGGAAAATCCAAGAGGACCTCCCTATCTGAAAAGATGCTACAGCCAGCTTCCTGCCCCCTCCTCCAAGGATAGACAAGTTCTCCAAAACCCAGGACCCTCCAAAGTTAAGGGAGACCCAGTCAGGAGGAAGCCTCTTTACACTGAAATGTCAGACCCTAGGAAGAGAGAGAGAGAGAGAGAGAGAGAGAGAGACAGACAGACAGAGAGAGAGAGAGAGAGACAGAGAGAGAGAGACAGAGAGAGAGACAGAGACAGAGAGAGACCGTTTTTGCACCTCTACCACGGATAATCCTCTGTGGGGAAATCATAAGCCCAGGGGGAAAGATGATGGAAAATTGGCAAGGAAGAGACCACCCCAGTGGGTAAACTAGTGTGGCTTGCCTGGCCTGCGGGGAACTCAGGTATATTCCCTTGCCTGCTCATCAGCTCTTCATTCATTCCGTGAATGATCACGGAGTGCTTATTCTGGGCCAGTCTGGGGGCTGGGAAGGTAAGGTGAGCAAAACAAGATGTAGTGACTACCCACCTGGAGGGGGAGGGGATCGCCAGGCATGAGAGTTCCTGGCAGTGCCACCTTGGGGCAGTGCTGACTTCTGCCCATCTTGTCTGGTAGAACTCTTGGCATTTGAGAAGCATCCCGAAGCAAGGGACAGCAACGTTTTTCTGCAAAAGAATCGATGGTCATTTTAAGCTTTGAGGGTCAGATGGTCTCTGTCACAATTACTCAACTCTTCAGTCACAGCTGAAACTTGCCTGTAGACAATGTGTACAGAAATGGGTAGGTTTATGTTCCAATAAAGCTTTATATGCAAAAACAGAGGTCAGGCCAGATTTGGCCCTCATGCTGCAGTTCATCAAGGGCCTGCCCCTGACACATGAGTGTGGCACTCAAAGTCCTTCCCAGACTGGCCCTGTTCGTCCCAGGCTCACCTCCCATCATACCCCCACTGGCCCTGTCTACCCTTGAGGTGCATGCAGCTCCTCTCCAAATTCCAAACCTCTCTTGCCCTTTAAATGCCTTGGCATCTTTGCCATTTAGAAGCCACTGCTCCTCCTGCCGCCTCTTCTTCCTCGTCTTTTTCCTCTTCCTCCCTGTCTGAATAATTTTCTATGGCTGTTGTAACAAATTACGGCAATCTGTGTGGCTTAAAACCCAGAAATTTATTCTCTTACCATTCGGAAAGCCAAAAATCTGAAATCCAGGTGTTGGCAAAGATAGCTCTTTCTGGGGCTCCCGGGGATCCATGCCTCTCTGGTAGTGTCTGCTGGTTCCAGCAACCCCTTATCCTCATTTGACTTGTAGACCCATCACTCCATTTTGCCTACATCTTCTCACAGCCTTGCCATCTGCCCCCCCCCACCACCGTGTGTGTGTGTGTGTGTGTGTGTGTGTGTGTGTGTGTGTGTGTGAAATGCTTCTTTCTCTTATAAGGACACCTGTCATTTGATTTAGGTCCTACCCTAAATCTGGGATGATCTTATGTCCAGAGCCTTAATTATATCTACAAAGACTCTATTTCAAAAAAAAAAAAAAAAAAGTAATTCCCGGGGTGAGAACTTAGACATATCCTTTTGGGGCTCACCATTCTATCCATTCTAACCACTACACCTTCCCTCATTTCTTTGTCCCCTCATATTCCTCTTTCTCCTTTTCTTTCCCCATCCCTCACCTCTTTCTCCTCTCCTCCTCCTTCTCTTCTCCCTCCTTTCCCTAGCCCTCCTCCTCCCTGAACTACCTGAAATCAAAGACAGCTGCTCTGCTATGGGCACTGAGCGAGGCAGCCCTGGTTTGGAGCCGTGACGGAGTTCTGCATGTATCT